CAAAATAAGCGCCCATGTCCCAACCTGCCTGGCCACATTGCGAGTCACGTTCAAGTCACGTTCACAAATGTTCACACCCATCTTCTTCAAGAAATTAAGACTGCGTCATTAATGGCGGCTGCCTCTTCTCCTGCACCTGCAAGGTGTTCATGCGCCCTGCACCGTAAGTTGTTTATGCTTTCTGCAGTTCCGGTACCTCCCAGCTCAGGTTCTCTGGAAAGGCTGGATTGTTCACGTGTCCCTTATTTCGTAGATATCCTTCCACAGGACATCTAGGCCTGCATAGAGGTAAAAGCATGGAGGGTACTTTAGAAAGTTTTTGGGAGGAAGATGATGAGTGGGATTCTGCCATACCTGTGTGCAGCAGGTCTAGAAAGGAGACTGGTCAACTCTATACTTAAAGCAACAACAGCAAAACCTTGTAGTCAGATCACATTTCTTGCTGAGCAGCTTTTTTTTTGTTACTCCAGGATTGCTGTGGAGTGGACTCAAGGCTGAATTTGGGGAGTGGGAGTTACTGGCACTGTGTTACCCCTACCGATGGAGCTGGTGATGGACACTGCCCTGCGCAGGGTGTTTGGTGTACTTGCGAGGGCAGGGACCGTGGCAGTAGCGGGAAACTTGATTAAACTGTATTGCAGTACAACTAAATACAGTACATGCCATCCTCGTCCCTTTGCGATCACCATGAGCTTGTCTGGAGCAGGCTTTAGACCTTACCCAACAATTGCAAGTTGAATGTGGCTTGGAACACCAGGTGGATATTGTGGAGCTACAGGGTTTATTAGTGTGTAAGTAGCAGTTTTGCAGACTAATGCCAGCAATGCACTATATAATAAATTGAAAAGGAGATGTCTGATTATGCCCTCTCTGATTTTAAACCACCAAGGTCTTAGTGTCCTCAGCCCAGGTGATCGGACTAGTTTTCAGCTTATGGGATCAGTAATGAACCTGTAGGCTTCCTGAGGATGGGCAAAATAGCCGGTCTTTTAGCTGCTGTGAGATTTGGGACTGATAATCCCGAAATCCCACGCTGCTCTCAAGGACAGAGGATTTATTTGCCAAACATAGTGCAGGGTGCACCTGGATTGCATCATTGCATGAGGCTAAATATTAAGCACTACTGGTTGAATTCATTATAAGTGGGGAAACCGATGGAGTACCTACTTACACACTGCCAGTTTCGGTGCTGAAAAGCTTGATGTGTCTATTTTTTTCTTCACAGACTCGTTTTGTTGTAGTGCCTGTGTGCCTTCTTTCAGGGAAGAGTCTTAATGCAGATCAGGTGTTTTCTATGCACTTGCTCTCTTGACTCCAAATTGTTTTGGCCCTTGGTATCTCCCTTTTAATACTTGTGTGGCTTTCCCCTTGAATCAGTACTGGCTTTTGAACACTCACCTTGGATGAACCCCAGCATCCCTGGATGGAAGGTATGTATTCAAGGCAAGGCACGAAAGCAAAATTTCTCTTTGGAAAATGAAGAGCTTCTCGAACTATTGCTGCAAGTGCTATGAAGACTGCCTGTATGGCCATAGTACGCTCAAGGGAGAAAGGAACATTTGAGCCTTGGTGGTTCAACCACTTTACAAGCCTTCTTTTTAAAAAACTTGGCCTGAAAACACCTAAATTAATCTCTAGCATGTGCTCAGAGATCTACCTCATGAAAGGCTCTGTCTTTCTTTCTACAATGTCACGCTCAGCCCCAGCAGAAAAGTTGTGTAGTTCCTAACAAGAGCTTTGTGCTGTTACTGCTGTGGGTCTAAAGCTTCCTGTCTGCCTTCCGCAGGGAAGTCACACCTTGCCCGTGGCGCTGGCCCCGGCAGCACTGCGAGCCCAGCACACACCTCTGGGGTTACCGCAACACCACTGCCCACGTTCTGGAAGACGCCAGAGGAAGCACCTTCTTTGTCCTAACGAGTCGTTAACATTGTGTTCCAGAGCACTGTCTAGCCCAGCAGTTTACCTGAGGAGTGAAATGAATAACTTTTTTTTGTCACTTCCTTTGATGTTGCTGCCAAAGGTTTTTGGTAGTATGGAAAGGTGGGAGAAGTCACAATGCTGCTTCTCAGAGTGCTTCTGTTAATGTAGTTCTATGTTGCTATTCGTAGCAGTTCAGATTTGTCTCACAGATCTTATGCAAAGTATCTTTCTCGTAAGTGTTCCCAATCTTGATATCCCAACTCCCCATTATATCAAATGTCAGCCTGCCTTGGAAAGAGAGCCCTTTATAATATTGATTTTTTTTTTTTTTTTTGGCAGAGGTATAAAGGTAGACAAGTTGTTGTTGGGATCATCTGGCCAGTACATGGCAATGGTATGAAAACCAGAACTTGGCTCCCAAGATTTTTATTGTAGAAATGAAGTTCTTCATTTCCTCATACCTCTTCGCAGTTGAGCCTTGTTCTGCTTCAGTTGTTAGGATTCATTTCTTCACTTAAACAGGGGGCCACTGGAGACAAGGTTCCCTGTTTCACTTCACACTTAACAGAAAGCATCTTCCTGAGGGGATCGTACTCATGCCCTGTGCAAAGCTTAATTCGTCTTTGTTTCCTTCCCATATGGCAACCTGTCTAGATGGCACAGTCTTTTCTGCTCTTAGGAGTCGTACCGCTCCATGTTGCAGGTGGGCTAATCATTGCAGAAATAGATTGTACTGTCCAAGACCACGATGAATTCTTTAAGGTTGCCGTAAAACATTGCTTCAGCCTTGCCCAGTAGACAGTGTTAGTCCAGAGCGCTATTAGTAGAAGAAGCGATTAGTGTGTCTTTAAATGAATGGTGCCAATGGGAATGGCACGTTAGGCAGGGCAGCTGCAAGCTCGGCCTGAAATACGACCACCCTTGAAACCCTATCTCTACTCCACTGACCCATGCAGGCTGCCTTCCTACTGTTGACTGACCATGCGGGTTGCGTCAATGCCTGAAATGTAACTGCTTCCTGACAGTGGGGCAGATCCTGCCTGCCTGACTGCTAATGTGTTACTCGAAGCAGGGGAGAAATTGCATTTATGTGTCTTTTCTGTAGCTGACTATGGAGGACTGAACTTGACGAGTCCCTCTTGTGCCTGTGTCCCACGTTACCCGAATGGAAAGTGTTCACTTTCTTCTTCATGCTAAATGAAGGTCTGGGGAGTTCCAAATAGCTATTAAAAAAAAAAAAAAAAAAAGAAAACGTGAGATGACCTTTCCCCAAGGATGCTTCCCAACAGAGCCTGTTATCTGTGGGGTGGGAGACTCCTCCCTTAACTAGGATTACCCCGCAAAACATGCTTGCAAATGTTACACTCCCAAAGTTTTAGGCAGGATAGTCTCCTCTTCATGACAGATGAAGCTGGGTCCCAACACCTTGTTTACTCTGGCTTTATTCCTTGCAATCGCAACTGTCTGCCCGGGCAGAGCTTTACCTCGTGCCCCTTGGTCTAAAATGCCCCACGAGATAGAGCTCTCTGGCTCAAGGGGAGGCTGTGCTGCAGCGCCTGGAAAGCATTTCTCGAGAACCAGCCTCTCTTCTTTTGCCAAATCCCTGCCACTGCTACAAGCTACAGCAGGAGAAGGGGGTGACCTTTTTCCTTTTTTGTGCTGGGTCAAAGTCACTCTCTTGCAGGAGCACAGAGCAGCGCGGAGCCCCACATGCGGCTGGAGCTCGCCGTGATAAGCTGGTTGTGTTCCCTTCTCCTTAAGCTGGTTGTTTTCCCCTCTCCTTTCCCCTCTTCGCACTGTGCTGGGCTTATCTGGGCGCCTGAGTTATGTTAAGTAGCGGGTGCATGCTTGCTCTCTGTTCTCCTCGCTGCTTTTGCTCCTTGGATTTCAATTCCAAACATGGTTATCCATTTGGGGTCTCTCTCCTTTCCACTGCCAAGTGATACACATTCCACACTCAACACCAGCTCCCTCCACTGCTCTCTCACGGTCGCTATTTCCATTTGCTGGAGGGCAGGCGAGAGAGGCAGCGCAGCGAGGTCTCTGTCCTGTCTGCGAGTTTTCCAGCTAATGGCCTCCACTCTTTCTTTGACTGAGCTCTTTTGGCCTTGTATTTGCCAGCTCCTTTTCTCACGGCTGCGGCTAAGGAGGGGGCCAGCCACCAGTTTGTGAGCCACAAAGAGGAGAAACGACAAGCCCTTTTGGGATTTTTCAGGTGCAAAAACATTCAGCAGCAATTTAACATGTCGCTCTGAAGTGTGCTGCTGTGAGACCTGCCGGCGCTCAGGAGGAGGAACAGCTACCCAGGAGCTCTGGTTTCAGACCTCTGCAGCACCCATTGTGTATGACAATTCATTTTGGGACAGACGGGGAGGGTGGGGAGTGGGGAAGGATGAGCGCAAGCAGCCTCTCTTGGGACCAGGCTGTTCTCCAGCCTCCGGTGTGTGATGCTTGGAAGGAGATTATGGAGGGAGCAGCCTACCAGCTGGCCAGCTGCATCGTCCTCCTGGGTTACATGGGGGGTAGTGGCATCTTTGGGTCCCTCTACATCTTTGGCCTCCTGGCCCCAGGCTACTTCTGCTATGCTCTGTGGGGCTGGCTGAGCGCCTGCGGGCTGGATATCTTCGTCTGGAACATGCTACTTGTCCTCATCTGCTTGCTTCAGCTGGCTCACCTGGCTTACCGGCTCCGTAGAGACACCATCCCGGAAGAGTTTGACCTCCTCTACAAGACCATGTACCTGCCCTTGCAGGTGCCCCTGGAAGTCTACAAAGAAATCATTAAGTGCTGTGAAGAGCAAGTCCAGTCATTAGTCAGAGACCAGAATTACGCGGTGGAGGGCAAGACGCCCATTGACCGCCTCTCGTTGCTGCTATCTGGCAGGTAAAGGCTCTCCTGTTTCTGAACAAAGTCTGACAGCAGGGTGCTGTAGCTTGCTGTTGCATTTTTCACCCCCTGTAGAAACTGAGGTGGGGATTGTTTCCTTCCTCTGAAAGGGCTTTGTGATTTGCATCTGTTGGGAAGGGATGTAATTTGCTTTTGGGTGTTGTTTTTGTTTTCTTTTGTTTTTCTAAATCAGAATATTTCAGGGGGCGGTTTGCAGAATCAAGCTATGTGCAGTGAAGCGGCCAGCTCAGTCTTATCTATGATACTGTTGGGGACCCCCTACCTCTTTGTCACTTTAAAGTGATCTTATTTCTGGTGGGAGCAGACTGGCCGCGAGAGAGTGTTTCTCAAGGCAGGAAGGCAGTGTGTTTGGACCTGTGGTCTCTGGCAGGACCAGACATACCTCTGTGATGTGAACTGCTATGTGCTAAGTACGCTGAGTCCTCAGTTCACCTGCTCCCCCTGGCCAGCAGTGTTCAGGGAGAGGTTACACCCCTGTTCCCAACACCTCAACCCTCAGGGCTCTGAAATTTTTCACTTTCGAAGGTCATTAGAGCACTCTCCTGTGGTGGATCTAGCCTCATCATGCCTCTTTCTTTCACTATGCTGTCATGCATTCATAATGTTCCTTCCTCTGGACCACCAAGGAGGACCTCAGGGAGCTCTAGATAGTTGCAGCTAATTGCCTGGCAAGCCATGCCCGTTTGCTATTCATTTACTGGGGATTTGATTATTGAGTGAACTGTGCTGGTGAAGTACTGGCATTTGTTCACCTGAGATCCTGTGGCATGCCTCTATGAACAGATCTTTCAATGATTTGCAAAATCCAAACACAAAATAGTAATGAAGTTGGCTCCCCAGCTGCTGCCAGGTGCTTGGCACTAATGTCAAGTGAGAGTGGGGGAGGAAGAAGGTCTGTAAATGGGAGCAGTGCTGAGCTGTAGGAGGTGTGTCTCACGAGGATTTTCCTTTGGGAGGACAAACCCAGCATCACCTGGGGCTCATGTTTTACTGTGGTGATCCATCCTCTCTGTTGAGGGTGAGGGGGAGTGTAAAGACGGAGGCCTGTCCTTTCTTTTTTTGGTGTTTGTCCCTTTTCTAGGATATGTTAAGAGCATCCTGGGACCACTAACCGGTTGCTGAATGGCAAAGTACTGGGAGGAAATTTGGTACATGTGTTTCCATTAGGTGTCTTTCCTCTTACCAAATGTCTGTGCTAAAGACCTTGCTCCGAAGTTTACCATATCTGCAAATAATGTTAGTGGGGAAGAGTCTGTGCTGTCTTGCTCTGCACTGGATAATCTGATGCTGCTCTGTGGGCATGAAAGTGCTGAAACGGACAGTGAGCTGGTGGTGGTGGGGTAGTTGTTCTGCTCTCTTTTGCAGTGGAAAGTATGCGTCTTGTCTGGTATAGGATGCTCTGTGGAGATGGGATTGGATTTGCATTTCCTAGTACCCACTGTATTGCCTTGTGAGGTCCTTGCTGACCCAACAGAGCGTTGCTACTATTATAGTACCTGCTCTTAAACTGAACATGAGCAAGACAAGGGGGGCTTGGAAATGCAGAATGTGCCTGGATCAGGAAATCTGCCTTGCTGTCCCTGACCCTTCCAGGCAGCACTCCAAGCTGACTGGAAGCCAACAGCGAACTGAGCCTTGTAACTCTTAAAAGCAAGAATTGCCTCTGTGCATCGTACAATGGGGGAACAGGGTGACAGGGACGCAAGAGGCCGCAAATCTGGTGGTGCAGAGCTATGAATACAGCACCAGAGTGTCCTGCCATTGCCCCAGGCCTGCGCAGCTCTCCTTCTGTGCTCCCACAGCAGAGCTGAGTGCAAGTTTGACCTTGACATTGGTAGGCAATTGTAGCAAAAGTAGGGGAAAGGATGCTTGGGAGGCCAAGAGAGATTGAATGATAATGTGCAGCAGACTATGGTCTCGCAGCACGATGCGGCAGGAATGATGGCCACTGCGATTTTTGGGGTTTCTGTGTGTAACAGCTTCCCGGCATTGAGACAGGGAATGCCCTTGTGTAACCCTGGGGTCAGGAGGAAGATATGAGTAGAAAGAGCCACAGACTGGCTTAGAAGTATCTGAAAAGCAGCAGCAGTCTTACAGACTGAGAAGTCCTGGTTTAGGACCAAGCTTGCACCTGTGAGGGCTGGCTTTGTAGCAGGAAACAGAAAACAAACAGTATATGGGGAAATGTCAGCAAATACCATTTCCCACAGAGAAAGGAGGTACAGCCCCATAGACTGGAACATCTGCAGCTGTCCCAGGGAGGGTAAGAGGCACACATGAGATGAGAAATCGTCCTTTCCTCCCTGGTGATCTGGCTGCCTGCACGTTGCGTGAGCTGATCGGGTTCATGTGACATCTGTTTTGTGGCCTAAGCCTGTGTGCCTCACCTGTCCTCTCTGCAGGGTCCGAGTGAGCCAGGATGGTCAATTCCTTCACTACGTCTTTCCATACCAGTTCCTGGACTCTCCAGAATGGGAGTCGCTGCGACCCTCTGAGGAAGGAACTTTCCAGGTAACCTTGTGCGGCCCTGCAGCAGCCCAGCTTTGCTCCTTGCCTCTTCATTGCATGTCTGAGAAGGGGGTGGAGTGGGCTCACTATGCCATTCAAAGCTAACAGGGAATACTTCCCTCCCCTTCCTTATGGTTTAGCTAGCACAGGACGGTGCGATCAGCTGTGTTACCTTTTTTTTTTCCTACCTTCCTTAAGACCTCAGTGCATGCTCCTGCTATCAGCTGATAGCAGGGAGCAGGGAGCATGGTGGTCCTTCCAGTTTAGCAGGGAGATTGGATTGGATTGCTGGCTCTTTTCCATTACAGCATTCCCTAGTACCTGCACTGATGCATTTGCCCTGCATGCTGCTTGCAGGGTGCAACGTCCTAGCATCAGGATGGCAGCCATAGCAATATGCAGCAGTGATGTAAATCCATAAATATCCTGTTCCTCACAGAAGTTTCTGATGGTGACGTGTTTGGGGCAGAGAAACAGAAAGGATGATTCACACCCGAATATGGTTCTTTCTGAGCAGAAGAATCCTCTGCTGAGAGGCCAGACCAATTCTTATTTGCAGCAACTGAAAGGATTTTGCTCTTGCTGTCAACACCCCACAGTATTTGTTTGGCTTTCCTTCTGGAGGAGATTACTTAAGCCCACATCTCTCTGCCTTTAACTCACATCCCAGGATAGACTGATCCCTGTGAGGATGTCAATCTAGAATATGTGAGTTAGGGCATATGAGGAGGGATTTTGCTAATCCCTTGGGAGTGTGGGAAGCTATGGCATCACCAGTGATTACTGTCTTGCAAGAGGAGCAGTTGCAGGAGATGGCTGACCATGTGACTATGACACAGGCCTACCACTTGTGAGCAGAAATAGGGAATGTCAGGCCAAGATAATGGGGTAGAGAGGGCAACAACAGCATTGCTGTGCTAGGGGTGGCGGTAGCTCATGTTTTGCGCAGAGCTTCAATCTGGCAGCAGATTGCTGCTAGCTCCTGTATTTGCCTAACAGTCAAGTGGAGAGAATGAAGGCTGCCCAGTGCTCCTGGCAGGGAAATGGCCATCTGGGTGGCATGCAACCTGCAAAGACATCTGCAGCATTTTCTGAGCTAATTTCTGTGGAACTGAATGTTCTCAGACCTCCTGAGTGTCTTTATCTGTAGTGCGTGAGACAGCTTGGGAGCAAGCTAGCGGCAGGCTGTGCCAGCTCTGCCAGCTCCGCAATCTTGGCCCCTGTCCTGCTGGTCAGGGAGGTTGGCTGTGCCTGGCACCAAGGTGGGGAGGTAGAGTCCTGGGTGGGGAAAGGCTGCAGCCAGGTGCTGGAAATGCCTAAACCCCACATCTGCTTACTGAAGAGCATGAAGAAGTAGCAGCCTGTGTGGGACCAGCATTCCACAGGTGAGTCTTGGCCAGTTCACGTTCCTGGCAGGACATTACTCTTGATGGCTGTGCTTAGCCATGGTGATGTGCTGCTTTTGGCAGCTGTTTAACCCACTAGTCCCTCTTACCTTGAGTAGTTAATAGAACTCTGTGGCATATCTCAACCTTATTCCTAGCATCACAACAATTTGCTTTAAAAAGTGCATGTTTGGCTCTAGGACTTTGCTGGAGGAGGGTACGGAAGGTTTTTCTTGCCCAAGTTTTCTCCATGGCTCTATGGATTAAGCAGTTTCAATCCTGAGCCCACCAAAAAATGGCAGTTGCATGACTAGGTCTGCAAGACAGCTGGTTTCCTTGAGCTTTCTGCTTTGGCTGTGTCATCTTCCAACAGGACTGCTGGCTGCCAGTGCCTGAAGGAGTTGGGTTTCAGGGCTGGCACTTTCCCCCAGAAGGCTGAATTATAAGCTCTACCAATGCTGGAGCACTTGTATTGGGGGGATTCGTGAGTGAAATCTGTCCTGGTTAAGAGGCAGGTTTTCTTACTACGTCTCACTTAATCCCTCATGCGAAGCAGAGGCTCTTGATAGCTGTGCCAGAAGTTGGTTAGGAAAATGAGATTCTGGTCATTTCAGTGTCTATGTGACCCTTCCTCTTGCTCGCCTCGGCCTGGGAAAGTTCTCAGGTTTTATATCTCCTGTATTCCTTTCATAAGGCAGCTGCTTGCATGGCAGTGGCATTAAATATCAAACCCAAGGACACACACATGCAGCCAAGCCTTGTTCAGCTTCCCAGTGGCCCTCTGCCATGATGGCTGGCCAAGGAGACCTCTGGATATAGACTGAAAGGGAGCCCCCAGGATATTTTGGCTCCGGCACTTGTTCACATGCTGGTGTCTCCATTACATTCGGATATTCTTCTCTGGCCCAAGGCAGTTTGACCCTTCCTGTGTTTCATATCTTTTATTTTTATTATTATATTTATATATTACAACATACGCTCATGTATTGTATAATTTTTAAAATATTGATAACCTGGTCTTACAGCTGGGGGGGGTGGAAATGGCTCTGTTCACATTGGCAAAACCCAAAGCAAATCAAAATTGTGTCTAAAATCAACACAGTAAACCCTCAGATGAGTTCCCTACCTACACACAAACACAGTAAAACGCTTTTATTTCCTCTCTTGCTGAGCTGTGCTGCACATCCTTCAAGGCCATTCGGCCCTACGGTGCCCAGCAGAGCTGTCGAGACAGCATGTCCCTCTGGTGCAGGGTGACCAGGCCCTTCCTGGACCCAGGGTCTTCTCTGAGCAGGGGTGTGCAACCCAACAGCAGGATGGGCCAGCAGCCTGCCACAGGGCTACTCGCTGGTGTCTTGGACTGGCTGGGGGTGCAGAAACACCCCCCTCTGTAATGTTTCTGTAAAGGGATAAGGATGTCTGTGCTGCCCTGCTCATTTCAGTTACATTGCTCAGATGTCAACAGAGACCATCATCTGAAAGCGAGAGGCTGAAGCATAGCCAGCTGTGTGGCCAGGTTAAGCAAGGGCATGCCGCTAAATTGCATAGGAAAACCTGGTCTCTGGCACCTTGGGGAGAGGAAACAGAGGTGGGTAAGGATTTATCTGGCTCTCCAGCCCCTCTGTCTCCAAGGAGAGCAGGTGTCAAAGAGGTTGGGGGCCTTCACTAAAGAGAAGCATGCAGGCCCAAGGAGGGTGACCCCTGCCCAGGTGGTGGGGCTTACTCCTTTCCCTCCCTGCCTTACAGGTCACGCTGACAGCTGAGACCGACTGCAGCTTCATCACCTGGCCCAGGAAGAAGCTGTATCTCCTCCTGAGGAAGGACCGCTACGTTGCCCGGCTCTTCTCCTGCCACCTGGGCTACGACATCTCGGAGAAACTCTACTCTCTCAATGAGAAGCTCTTTGCCAAGTTCGGCCTTCGCTTCGACATCCGTTTGCCCAGCCTCTACCATGTGCTTGGGCCAGCCTCCTCCTCTGAGGGGGAGCCAGAGGACTGCGAGGAGCCCCCTCCTGCCTCCGGCCAGGCTGGTGCCTCTGAGCCTCCTCCGCAGCCACCACCACCACCTCCACCAGCATCGCGCCCTCGAGCATCCCGGCCTGACAGTGACCTGCTGGGTGAGGACTCCACCAGTCTTGTCTTGGAAGATTTTGCTGAGTTGCCGGGGTCTTTTATGGACTATGTGAGCGAAGGGGAGTATATGAAGTGAGGGCACTCCTGGCACGGGCACGCCTCACCCTGTGTGGGACACCCGCGTAAGTACCCGCTTGCAGAAGCTAGTCCTTCCCATGATGCAACTGCACGGGGAGAGCGGTGGCCCCTAGCCTCTTGCCCTCATTTGCTGTGGGTTTGCTCCTCTGCAGCATTTTTTTTGCCTTCTGCCCCAAGGAATCCGGGGAGGTGGGCTCGAGCTGTGTGATTTTTCTTAAGCAGCAGGGTAGAGGCTTGACTCCAGGCACCAGCTGCACTGTGGGGTGGAAAGGCTGGTAACCTGGCCATAGGAAGCTCTTCCCTGCCCTGTTCTATCTCCACCCCTCAGGAGAGGCAAAGAAACTGAAACAGTGTCCAGGCTGGTGGGTGGTACATGAGTGCCTGCAGAGACCCCACAGGGCTCGACCTGGCTCGCCATGAGGTAGAGCTGTGCCTGGAGATACTCCAGTATTGAGCTGAGGAAGACATCTGCAGGTGAGAGAGCAGGCAGAAGATGCTGACAGGGGTAGAAACAGTTCCAGTGTTTACAGCAGATTGATAGCAAGATGTTGCTGTACACCCTGTAAGTGCTCAGTCTGGGCAGGGGGAGAAAGCTCAGAGTCCTTCCTCTCCCTGCCCACCACAGCTCATCCCAGCATTTACTCTGTCATCCTTGTTTCTGCTGAGCTTTGTCTCAGCCAGATCAATAAGGTATTGAAAAAACTGCCCTATGTGGTATAGCTCTTGCCTCCAATCACCCTTGGTGGACTGATAGACTAAACATTGTTTTAACATGCCCCAAACTCTGCTTTCCAGTGAGTGGGAATGAGATGCTGTCTTCCAAAATGCTCAAGGGAAAAATTCCCAGGCCTGATGGATGTTGAGGCAGAGGAGCAACGCAGGTGAACAGAAATAGACAGGAGGGTGGCTCGTGCTTGAAATTCAGATCCAAGTGGCCAGGAGAGAAATTCCACACTGAGCTACTTTTAGCCAGTTGCTGCACACCAGCTGCTGCACGCCAGCTGCAGACTCCAAAATTCCTGCATTC